CCTCATCTTCGTTCTTAAACGTCTGTTCTGATATTTGGCTGTATAAGCCCCAAGGCTCTATAACCAAGCAGGCCAAATGAGATTAGCAGATTATTTAGTGCATAGCGAGTTTTGTGTGTTATCTATAAAATTTCATTAGCAGTGATTTTTATACTTCCTTTGCTAGCAAGTAGAAAAATACCAAATAACTGTGGGTCAAGAACTCACTAAAAACCCCACTGAATGAATCCTCTATTTTTAATAATGTTCCGTGTTTGTAAATTTTACTTTTTCAAAATACATTCAGTGCGGCTGCCCTGACATTTCTTTCTCTTGCACCACATAAACCTAGAACCTGATGGCTAATTTGAGCTCTTTAGAGGTGCCAAAAGCAGTAGGTTTACATAGGTGGAGAGACCTAGATGAATGCCACATGCAGAAAAGACTTTCAGACCACTGGTATTATTACATACCAGAGAATCCAAGGGGAATGAGAGAAAGAAGATAGTTTCCAGTTTTAAGAAGAGACTTGGGATAAATGCTTCTCTTTGGCAAAAAGCCGATCTCTCAGTTAGGAAAGATGCGCTCATTTTAAATAGATAGAAGTGCAAGCAATAAATACAAAGCAAGTCAGAGGCAGCTGAACAGCATCCTCAGGGGTGTTCTTGAGACCATTGTCCTATGTGGCGGATTTAACTTTTCATTTTGTTTTCTGCTCCTCTCCAAGGGATAAGTCACCCTTCTGATAGAGATTGTTTCTGATTCATCATTGGTAATTGCTTAGTCTGACTGGATTATTTCCAGGACCTTGATGCCATTTCTAGAAGGGGCACTTCCATATGGTGGAAACAACTTCTAGAAGGCTTCTGTACTGAGTGAAGTCAGTTGCATGAAAGCAGAGTAGGTGTAAACTGAAAAAAAAATATATATAAGAAAGCACAGTGGTTTTGTTACTGATAGAAGGCTTTTAAGACTTGAGATTTTATAGAAGAGAGAGAAAGGGGATGTTTTAGCATAGAAGGTTGGTAACAGGATACAGCTCATACTTTATGCTTGTACTGACTGCAAGGGGCAGGTTGAGCTATAGTTGATTGACAGTAAACTTCAGATGATTTGCACAGTTTTAAAGGCAATTCCAGGCACCAGCTATTGTAGTATGTAGTATGTTTGAGCCAAACTACTGTAGTTTAATCCCAGAGGCAAAACAGAGGTGTTTGGAGATTAAAACTGGTTAGAAGTGATTGCCATCTGAAGAAGAGGGTGGTTTGACCAGCAGTTATTTGATTGAGTCTCTATCGTTCTCTATATTCTCTTAGATGTGACCTTGTTCAGTTCTTGTGAGGGAGGCAGGCTGAGAGACACCAATTTTGCAAATTCCCTTCCTTTCTTCCAAATGGTGGCTCCTTTGGATTTGGGCTGGGACTCATCCCTGACATAAGATGGGTGTCCCATTTCACTGGGGTGTCTGCTCTAGTTCAGCTACATGTGGTATGTGCTCTTCAAATACTTACTAGCAGGCTGGGTTTTGTGGGGTTAGGTGAGAATGGCTCAAATCATAATCTCTGTTGTGTCCCTTGCTGCTCACATGAACTGTATGTGCATTTTTAAAGCTGGCTTTTGTTGACTTTTCCAGTTGCAGCTCTGAGTACCCTTTCCCTTCATTCAGGATCACCAGGTAGTTGAGGAACTGAGACTCCTTGGTGTCTCCTGACTCCACTATCAGGAGTGGATGGCCACTGATACCCAGATACACGGGCTGTGTGTCACCATTTACTTGATGATGCAGTTACAAAAGAAGATGGCATATGCCCTGGGTGGTTTGAAACACTGCATCTGCCACAGAGTGGTGGTGCTGATGCTGTCTTCCACTGCTCACCCTATGGGGTCTGGGAGGAAAGACAAACTTCTTGCCAGTTTGCAGCTGGGTTTGGCACCTGGCATGTGCATGTATCATGTTCTGGGATATAGGATGGCTCCTCAAGTAGCAACAGTTTGAGGTGAATCTTTCTTCAAGACTTTTGGTTTCTCCTTTTATCGAACTTGGCTGCCATTTAGCAGGATGTCTGCTGTTCATTTGATAAATGCCACTTTTCATGTAAAAAATTTAGCATCCCAGAATATATAATTCTGGTTTATATGGAAATATCATAGTCCTCCAGCACCTTACTCAGTTGAAGGTACTGTCACTTATCTCTATTTAACACCTGGGGAAACAACCATGTTTCCTTTTCCATTCAATCAGTGTGACTTCCAATGAGAAATGAGGCTTTTTTTTTCTGGCTTCATTAGAAGTAGAGAGGGTGTTGGAAACTTGCATTTTGTGCTGTACAAGTGTGACTGGCAGTTTGTTTACTTGCTTGCTTTCTGTTATTATGGAAAGCAATCTCCATGTAGTTTATTCATTTGCAATGACTTGAGTCCCAAATCATTCCATTCACAGTAAAATCTGTTTTCAGTGAAGTGCAGTGAAGAGCTGCAATTGTTTGTTTCATTAAAACAAGGGAGGCATTTAATAGCAGTAATTCACTTAAGTTGCTTTTGTTGTCTACTAGCTTTCCAAGACATTTTATTCCAAGACATCCAGTTTACAATATCTCCACTGGAATGCTTACCTGAGGATTAAAAATAGTAATTCCAGTTTCTGAAGGTCAGAACTCCCAGGGTGTCAGAGATGTTGTTTTGCAGAGGGAATCATTTATGACGTTGAATGAATGTACCCTAATAAAAACATGGTTTCGAGCCACTAGAGACACCATGTGACAAATCCAAGTTGCTAGAAATGTGAGCAACTACATTGATGTTATTGGAGCCAGGCAGATTTCTACTAGATGAGGAAATGACATTTAGCATAATGTGCGATTCTTGTAAGTACACGTCTATGTGACTGGAAAAAGTGAACATATTTCCAAGGTAGAAAATATAGGTAAGGAGATGATCCCTTGGCTGGTGTTCAGCTAGGAGGATTTTGAGATTCTGTTCTATTTTATTCAAAATAAAGCCAGGCAACTTTTCCATCAGTCTTACTGAGTTTCTGTGAAGTAGCTGAAGTTCCTCCAAAGCCCTTGGTTTCATCCCTGGATGTACAACTTGTGCTGCCCTCTCTCTGGGAGTGTGTTCTGCACTTCTCCCACTTTCACGCTGAGCAGAGACCACCCCACAGTAGGCATAAAGCTTGGTGTAGTGAGCCTGACTTCATCTTCTGGTCTGCTCCCTCTAAGGACAATGGTAGTTATCCTGGCAGCATTATTTATTTAAAATGAGTTAATTTCAGATAAAGCATATCTCAAGAAAAAGAAAGCAAGCTGTGTGTGAAATCTCACTTTCCCCTAAGAATTAACATTCCCTGGATCTAGGAAGACACAGTTTTTTCAATTTGTTTCCACAGAATTACTCTTTCCAGGCAAGTTTCTCCAAGCAGTAAGAGGTTTTAACCCTTCAGTGGACTGTTTTGGTTTGGGTTTTAATGGGTCTTTTAGTTACAAAAATGTGGCTTATCAGTAGACATTTGTTCCCCTTGTTCTAAGAAATCAGGAAAATTTCTTCCCCTGAGGACATGATTTAACCAGCCTTCTCCTCTGCTTGCTTTGCTGCTTACCCTCGTTGCTAGTAGTTGCCAGTGGACCCGACAATGACAACGCTGTGTTCAGCAGAGCAGCTCTGCCACCAAGAGGTGGCAATGCCAATGCCTGTAATCGGGCATGGGGAGTTTGTGTGCCTTTCCCATAGCCCCAGGCAAGGTTCAGGTACCATTAGAGGCCTGATCTAGTTGGGGTTTAGTTGTTTTGATTTTTGCAGATGTATTTTTACTGCAGTGGACAAATTCTGTATTTTGGCTTATATTTTCCTACCAAAGTCGTGAATGTAAGAGGAAATAAACTTAAGTTAGTCGGATAAATGGATTTTCAGATAGCCCATACTTACGTTGTTTGTGGGACTCATTCATCTTCTCATACCACAGTGGAAGCATAGGGTATGTTTTGCCTTAGCTATCCCTTCTCCCCCTGATATTTTAGGGGTGCTCTCTCCTATTTGAAAGCTTTCTTATTCACCTTCAAACTAACTAAATGAGTATTGTAAATTATTGAAGCAAAGGTTGATCCCATGGGATGGCTGCAGCAAATAGATTAGTGGGGAGATTGCCAAGTCCTTCATCTCTGTGAGTAAACTGCTGGCTTCCCCTTTCCCAGATCACAGCATCTGCAGAGGAGTCTGTGTCCAATGTCACTGTTGTGCCTAATAAATAATCACACAGTGGTCATTAGTTCCTATGGGGGAAACAGCTTGTCTCACTGCTTTGATTTACCTCTGCATGTCCTCAAGTCTTTGTGACAGCTAATTGGAGCTCAGGCTCTATTGACATGTGCATCCCTAGGTGGTTGGGAGGGGGGTTGTGCTTTTTTTTTTTTTTGGTCTGAATAGATGGAGATGACAGGTTGTTAGCATTTGAAACACAAATGCAACCCGCCTTTCATTTATATTGGCAAAAAAAGGCTCAACAGCAAGTATCATATTAATTAGCATCCTTCCCAATTTGCTTATCTGAGGTTATATTGATGGTCCTTGAGGACAAATGAAAGTGATTATCTTCTTTTTTTTTTTTTCCTTTTTTTTTTTAGTAATGGGGAAGAAGGCGAAGAGGCTGAATACAGATACCCTGGGAATATCCTAAACCTAAGCATGGGGTTTAAATGAACAAGCATTTCCCTTTTCTGCTGACCTGGATTCAGTGTACATGAGATTTCAATACATAAGCATAGCTCAGACAAGTCTTTACACCCTGGTAAAAGTGTGGTTCTGTAGCCACTAGAGATCAAGGCAAAATTACTGTTTACTGGGACATGCAAAGAACAAATAACTATCACAGGATCCTGTCTGGGAAAGGATTATTTGAATACATTGGAGGGGTGGCACAGGAAGGAGATGATGGTTCTGAGGGATAGTTTGTGAGATCTGTGGAACACAAGACTAATGTATGAAGACAGAGGAGCATTGCTGAGAGCAGCAGTTGGTGGGATACATACCTGGAGACAGGGGGTAGAAGCTTTCTTGTGTCAGTCATCTTTGGGGTAAGAGTATGAAGAAAATCTTCTACAAAGGGAGTTCTGTACTGGAAATAAAATGGTGATGTTAGGTCATGATGGCATCCACCTTTGCTGGTGTCACTGCTATTGAGGATGTTAGTATAATTTTTTTCCCAACCAGTTTAATAATCTGAAGAGGGGTTTGTCTATATGTAAATAAAAGGTTTCTTCTATGAAATCAGCATAAGAAGTATCCTGCTATATAAATAATTAGGTCTGTCAGAAAACACATGCACTTCAGTGTTCACTCACCTGAAATTCCTCCAAAATGCTGGTAAGGCTTTTGACTAAACTTCCAGGTAATTAATTTGCAGTGTCAGCCTTTTCTGTATCTAATTGATTTTGATTTGCCTGCCTAGTTTTACTCAGCCCTTTCCCCACGTTTTCTGCAGCATACCTTTGAAATAAGAAGCAGCAAGCCAATAATTCATGTTTAAAGTTTTTATTCCCATGTTCACTAAAAAAACAAGTCTTGTTTTTAAGGAGGTCTAGGACTATCTCATCGGGAAGTGCCCATGCATAGGGTGCCATACACGGCAGAGAGCTGAATGTACACATGCTCTTGAATAAGCAGTCAGCTGTGCTATTGACTTCATTCTGTATGCAAGCAAAGACTCTGCATAGCTGCATCTTAACATTTTTAGCCCATGTCTCTGAGCTGGTTATGATGTACTTTATTTAAACAAGCTTGGGGACTTGATGCACAAGTTACTCAGTTGTTGCTGTGCATAAGAACAGATGAGATGGCATTGGCTTCTCTGGCTACAGGAAGGAGCACTTTCTCTATTCCAGCAATGATCGGAGGCTAAACATTCACTTTATATGTAGCAATGATAAAATGTCTGTTTCTCCCTTGGAATTTAGGAGAATCATTTGGTCAAAATGAGGTGCAGTTTGCTCTTGCATAAAAATTTTGTAGTTGCAGAGCTTAGTGTCTTGTCATGCTTGTGATCTCTTGTTTAAAGCAAAGCAGCATTAAAGCTGCTGTTGGGATTCATTAGCATTTTAAGAGTATGAATAGCACTCGAACATTTCAGTGTCTCCTTCCTTGCAGCCTCAGCTGTCTGCCACATCAGGTGCCTTGACACTTCCTTTTGAGCAGAAACAGGTGCTTGTAGACTGAAGGCTGACTGAAAGTGCAATTAATTGTATACACAAACCATGGACCCAGGAAAAACTGATTTGGAAGTTCTTTGACTTTCTTATTAGCTTTTTCTAGGTTCTTCTCAGAGAGTATGGTGGGAAACATTTCCTCTTACTGCTTCACCAGTTGTCTGCTCCAGGCCAATGCAAGATGTACTTGTCCTTCCTTTTGCTTCCTGATGAGCCTTAGTTTTACCCCCTCATTGCCAGGAATGTTACTGACACTCTCATGTTAATAACTCCATTTCTTGTCTCAGATTATGTACAGGGCTTCATGTCCCAGATTGGTTTTGGTATTCAGATACCTAACCCTAATTACATTAATAATTTTATGGCATGAGTGGAGTCAAATCATTCCTGTTTTACAAATAGAGAACTGAAACACAAGAGGAACTAGGTAGGAAGCCTGTGGCACAGCTGAAAAGTCTCACCTCAGCTAAGTCAAACCATCATGTTCCGGAAATGTTCACTCTTCTTCCAGCTCTCAGATGATTTCCTACAATCTTCTGTTCCTCAAGTCTCCAGGAACTTTTTCCTCTGAAGATACATACGCAATGCACCTCTCTTCGTATCAAACACTGCTAGAGCCAATAAGCATTTCAACTAACTTACTGAAGTTTGGAAGATCGGTAAAATGTTTGAAGTCTGACGTAGGCTTTTGCAGTCAAACTAGGAAAAAAGAACTCACTAAGCAAGTGTTTTGCTGTGTTTAAGGAAGCAGTCATAAAAAAATGTTAAGTCCTGGAGTTGTTTCACATCTGGGGAAGAAGTGAGGAAGAGGGAATCCCACAGAGCTGAGCAAAGTGTCCTGGCAATGCTGTTTTACACTGACGACACTGAAAAGAAATGACCATATTGTCTCTTAAGTGGCAAACATCAGCAAAACTTACACGATTTCTCTTACTAAAATCTTTTAAGATTTCTATCTATAGGCAGATGGCATAAGGAGGATTTCTGCTGTGAGGAGAGCATGTACTGCTCTCAGCTTCTTATAGACAGGCTTGGAGACATCTCATTTAAAACAAGCCTTACCTGTTGGTACAATCAGTCTCATCTCTTAGCAGGCAAGAGGGCTTCCATAAATGACCTTTTAGATTAGGCGATTCCTGTTTACATTCTATTTCCTACTCCCTGCTATTTGTAGAGAATGATTATCAAGGCATTAAAGATAAAAGTTTTGCCCAGTGGGAAGCTCTTGAATATTTTGTCATTTCATTAAAGCCTCTTCTGGTGGAGAAGCAGAGAGGTAGGGGAAACAGTCACCAGAAGGGTCAGGAATATTTACTTACCTATACTGAAACTCTGCTGAGAGGCTTTCTCCCATTCAGGGTGCTGGTGAGGTGGAATTTTTGTTCATGATATGGTAGGAAAGCATTGAGGCTAGAAATTAAAAGTCTCCATTTACCTGCAAGTAAGAAACCTGGGGATGCTGCTGGCATCCTCTGGCCTTTGCCTAAAGGTTGAAGAATCATAGAATAATTAGGGTTGGAAAGGACCTTAAGGTCATCTAGTTCCAAACCCCCTGCCATGGGCAAGGACACCTCACACTAAACCATGTCACCCGAGGCTCTGTCCAACCTGGCCTTGAACACTGCCAGGGATGGAGCATTCACAGCTTCCCTGGTAACCCATTCCAGTGCCTCACCACCCTAACAGGAGTTTCCTTCTTATATCCAATCTAAACTTCCCCTGTTTAAGTTTTAACCCATTACGCTTTGTCCTGTCACTACAGTCCCTAATGAAGAGTCCTTCCCCAACATTCTTATATGCCCCCTTCAGATACTGGAAGGCTGCTATGAGGTCTCCACGCAGCCTTCTCTTCTCCAGGCTGAACAGCCCCAACTTTCTCAGCATATCTTCATACGGGAGGTGCTCCAGTCCCCTGATCATTCTCGTGGCCTCCTCTGGACTTGTTCCAACAGTTCCATGTCCTTTTTATGCTGAGGACACCAGAACTGCACACAGTACTCTGAGCGAGGTCTCACAAGAGCAGAGTAGAAGGGCAGGATCACCTCCTTCAACCTGCTAGTCACGCTCCTTTTGATGCAGCCCAGGATACATTTGGCTTTCTGGGCTGCGAGTGCACACTGAAGGCGTCTCATGTTCAGTTTCTCATTGACCAACACCCCCAAGTCCTTCTCCACAGGGCTGCTCTGAATCTCTTCCCAACCTGTAGCTGTGCCTGGGAACACTCCGACCCAGCTGTAGGACCTTGCACTTGTCATGGTTAAACTTCATGAGGTTGGCATCAGCCCACCTCACAGGTGTGTCAAGGTCCCTCCGAATGGCATTCCTTCCCTCCAGTGTATCAACTGAACCACACAGCTTGGTGTCATCGGCAAACTTGCTGAGGGCGCACTCAATCCCACTGTCCATGTCAGCGACGAAGATGCTGAACAAAACTGGTCCCAACACTGATCCCTGAGGGACACCACTCGTTACTGGTCTCCAGCTGGACACTGAACCATTGACCACAACTCTTTGTGTGCGGCCATACAGCCAGTTCTTTACCCACCGAGTGGTCCACCTATCAAATTGATGTCTCTCCAATTTAGAGACAAGGATGTCGTGTGGGACAGTGTTGAATGCTATATGTGAGAATCTAAGTGACATCTCAAACTGTCAGCAAGCTGAAAAGGAGTTACTGAGGATTTCCTGAAGTGTCTTCTTTTGGCCATTCTTCCAGAGAGAATTGCAGCAATGCTGGCTTCCCTCTCAGTGTCCTGGGACAGTGGAAGGGCTTGTCTCTTCCGTATGGGTATCGCTTCAATTCAATCAATGTTTGCATCATGTTAACTATAAATACTGATAATGCACATTCTGCACAGATACAACTTTCTTGTTTGCCCAAGAACTTTTGCTCCAAAGCACTTCCTCCTCCTCCTCAGAAGCAGAATTACAGAATTTGGCTTCTCAAGGAACAGTGCTTGTCTTCTGTTTCATGCCTTAACAGTAAGTAGATAAATTCCAATGCCTGTCATTTAGACAGAGAGTGAGATCTGTCAGATCATCCCAAGGAAATGAGAAGGCTACTACAATCTCCCATCTGTAATACAGACATGAAAATAATTCTGAGCCTCACTAGGTTTTTGCAGTGCAGAATGTTTATGTAGTGCTTTCAGCGTATCTGTGTCTGTGCTAAGCAGGGGGTTTGTTGTTGCTGCTGTTACACAGTTTTTATCTCAGCCTCAATTATGCCTAAATCGTCTTATTCAAGGAGGCAAGGTGGAATCTGAGAGCTCATGGTCCTCTTGAGGGATGGCGGCTTCTGGAGCAGGGCTTGACAGCCAGCCAGACACAATTCTGCTTGGAGGGTCTGGACTTCCTGAACAATGAGGGGACAAAGCTGACAGAGAAGCAAATTTTACATGTAAATGGCTACAGCATAAATAGCCATCTTGGGGGAATATAGATTAAGAAGGAACCAGTTTTTAATTTGGCCTAGATTTATTTGCAGACTTCAGTAAGATTTTTTTAAATTTTATTTTTTCAAGGAGTGTTTTGTCACAGCTGTAGTTTAGATGAAGCTCGGATCTCTGCCCATTCTCACTGCATCAGCTGCTTCCAGCCTTCCCGCCACTTTTCCTGACCCCTTGTGGTAGTTTCCCTCCAGTACTGGTGCATCTCTTGCAGCTTTCTGTTCAGTAGTTCAAATACTGAGCTTTCTTCAATGCCTGAAACTCTCTGTATATGACTTGTCTGTCTTAGAGTAGTGTATGTTTTTAGAAAAGACTTTTTAATATGATAATGAGAGGTTTAAGAGCCAAATTAGTGCCTTCTGGAAGTCAGTGAGAAAGTGTGCTTATTGCAGTGGGAACAGGATCTCATCTTATATAAAGTGTTAGGGATATGGATGCCCCACACTTAAGAAGTAGTTCTTTTCCACTTGTGAATTGTAAACGGATTACCACACTAAGCAACAGGACACATTTAACTTATGTTAATAGAAACACCACTGAAATCTGATGGTGCTGATAAGCGTGAGCAAGCCTCCAATGTGTCTAAAGTCAGAAGTCATAGGAATGGACATGGATGAGGTGCCAGCTTGAAGCTTACACCTCTCTCATCTGTTGACTAATGAATCCCAAGGAGGAAAGGAATTTTCCTCTGCTGCACTTTCAGATTGATAAAAGGTTCTTAACTGCCTAACCTTTCAGAATCTCTTTCTTCTAAGGAAATCTCTGGTATTCGACATGACTTAAAATAGGCATCTCATTTAGAATAATGGTTTGCCTGCTGAGAGTTTTCATTATGCTTCATTGTACTCCTTCACTAGATAGAGTTGTGCCTTGTGAAAGGCCTGGCTTGTGTATGGGCGAACACAGCAAATTCATATTACAGAATATTTAATATAGTTGCTGGGGTTTAACCCCAGCTGGTTAATAAGTACTACAGAGCTGCTTGCTCACTGCCTGCACCCCTGGTGGGATAGGGAGGAGAATCAGAAAAATAGGTAAAACTCATGGATTGAGATAAAAACAGTTTCATAATTGAAATAAAATAATAATAACAGTAGTTATTATTATTAATAATAATAATGAGAGAGAGGAATAAAACCCAAGAAAAAAAAAACAAATTATGCATGATACAATTTCTTACCACCTGCTGACCAATGCCCAGCCTGACCCAAGCAGTGACCTGTGGCTTATGGGCAACTTCCCAGTTTATATACTGGGCATGATGTGCCCCTTTGGCACAGAATGCCCCTTTGGCTAGTTTGGGTCAGCTGTCCTGTCTCTGCTCCCTTCGGGCTTTTTGTACCCCTCCTCACTGTCACGGCATGAGAGACTGAAAAGCTCTTGATCAGGGTAGGCACTACTTAGCAACAACTAAAACATTGGTGTGTTATCAGCATTGTTCTCTGACTAAAGCCAAAACACAGCACTGTGCTAGTTACTAGGAAGAAAATTAACTCCATCCTAGCCAAAACCAGAATAGCGGTACTTACAATCTCTGCTTTGCGATAGACACTTTTTCTGGCTAAGGACTGGTATCACAGAGACAAACAAGAGGAGCTGACAGATGGGTGAGTGCTGGATGTGATCATTTGTCAAGAGCTGTGATGAATCACTGTGGTGCAGCATTTCATTTTCAGAAAGATCATTTTCTGAAAAACTCAAAAGGCAGAAGAGCCAGCTGGGGGTGTTTTGTGAGTTTTCATTTAAATCAAATACACAATTAGAATAAAGGCATATTGAAAAGTTTCTAAAAACATTTTGAGGAAGAAACAAAATTGAATTTAGGAGGAAACAGAATAACCTGGAGGAGCATTTGCTAGCTATGCTCCACAAACATATGCACCTTACTTACCCTTCTCTGATCAAAGACAATAGGAAGCATACGTCTAGAGCTTCCAGCAGTGCTTAAGTTAGGGAGAAAATATCCATCTTGTAACCTTGTACACAGGTTATTTGAAGTACAGGTCTGTGCGTTTAATGGGATTGTTTGTAGACAACTCCTTGCAGCACGAATGAGAGAAATGGTCTTGCTTAATATCATCTGTGCTCTTAGAAGTCTAAGGCTACTTCTGCAACAAGACTGATTAATTCATGCAGATAACACATCAGTAAAAAAGGCCTTATTTAATTGACTAAAAACAGGGAAGACGGACAGAAGGGGACTTCATGCTGGTACCACAGCTGCAGACAAAAGTGACAGGAGACCGAAGACTGATGCTGCTTCCCCATTCTCCTGGTGACAAAGGGCTGCAGACTCAGCTGTGCTGTACAAGTTTATTGCTAGGTGGTGATGAAGATCTTCCTGTTCCTAGTGTAAGCAAACAGGAGTGTGAATGCTTTAAGGAGTAGCTCTGTGAAAAAGAGGTTTTAAATCAGCTTCTCTGCAGAGAATAGCACCCTTTGGTGCATTTACAGCACACCTGGTTAGAAGATCAGTTAGAAACTTTAGTAAAGGAGAATTACGTAAAATCCTACATTTACAATCACTCAAATAAATATAAAGCTCCGTGTGTGTGTAGGAATAAAACTGTATGAGATTTCCAGATACCTTCCCATGTCAGCAGACATGAAACAGAAAAGAAATCTGGAGATAGAGTTTCACAGCAAGTGTATGCCTCTTCCAAGGTTGCAGCCTGTGTAGAGATGAGATAGAGAAGGAAATGAGACACACACATGGTGTGGGATTCTAAAAAGCTTATATGTTCTTCCAAGCACGATTCAAACAGGCACTTCACTTTTTAAAACAACAAATAAAAATGGTTCATACAGTGTGCATGGCTTGATGTTGAGGGGCTTGATGTTGAAGCTTTTTGAAACAGCAGTGAAAGAACTGGTTGCATGTTGCCTGTTTCTTGAGTTTCTGAAATACGGTTAATCTGTTGCCAGTTGTGTACCCAGTATAAGGGTCTTGCACTGTTTGTTCAGGGAAGAGTGATTCCTCTCATGAGGGAGAGAGGGCTTACTTTCAGTTTTGCCTCAGCAAGTTGCTTGGTAGTGTGTCTGCGTACAAAGAAGAGCAGGAATGCTTGGTGGGGCAGTCTCTTGGAACCATGTTAAAGCACACATGGACTAACAAAACTGTTCCAGATCTTGAAGTACTTTATAAATGTTGATTGCAAGTTATTGAATGTATTATTGTTGTTGTTACTCTAAAAGAGGACATGAAAATTTCATTTATAAGGGCAGCCTGTGAGCCTTGGTAAAAGGGGTTATCACGCTGAGCCACTGCAGTGGTTTGCAAAGCAAAATTTGAGTGAGGAAATACAAACTTTGCTTTTTGCATCCTTTTGATAGCATGGCATTTGCCTCTCAGATAAGCATCACTGTTTCATTTGACCTTCTTCCTTGTTCCAGATTAGTGGTGATATGAACTGTAGGCTGATGCATAATTTTCTCACTTGGCAGATCTTCTCAAGTGTGATAAATAATATTCCAAATAAATTTTTCTCTTTTGTCTTCAAGGCAACAAATGTACCTGATAGATTTCTGTCCCCACCTGTCCTCAGCTAGGCTGTTTCTCCTCGCTGTCCCTTTCCAAGTAAGAATTAGTTTTTAAATCATTAATATACCTGACTACCTCTGTAGGACACTAACTAAATTTCAAAGCCTCTCTCAGACTAGCAACACAACTGTGCCCTTCCACCCTAATTGATGGCTCTGCTCCAGACCACAGTGGGTCTAGCTGGGACAAAGGGAGCTGAAGGAAAATGACAAACCAAAACCCAGTTCATTCTAATTCTTAAATGAATGCCAAGAATCCCACACACATATAAGTTTATCATTATTGCCTGTAATTTTCACAACTAATTTAACAGTTAATGGTAGCTTTCAGCTTTGGTTTTCTCTTCTAATTAAGGTACCAGTGACTATGTATAATCTCTATGTAAAGTCAAAAGCCACTTACATGTTAATTACAGTGGGAGCACAGCACCTACTGTTCAAGATAGTCATCCACAATGAAGTGCTTGCATGATAGTTAAGGTGCTGAGATTAAGTTGTACATCTTTCTGGCACTGTCTCAAAGTTATTAGTGGATCAGTTTGATGGTGGTTAACTTCTGTGAAGGAAACACACTGGAAAGACCAAGCGCAACCTTCTGCACATACAGCAGAGATTCTTGGACATGACGAACTTTTGAGGTCATGTTTATATCTATCCCATAATAACTGTGATGTAGTGGGTTAAAAATTCCACTTTCATACTGTGGAAGATGCTTTGCATCCACTTTTTTTTCCAGGAGCAAATAAAACCCAATTCTGACTCAACAAAGTAGCAGGAAAATCCAAGTGTAGGGTAGAAGCAGAATACTTCTGTTAACTCAGAATTAGCATTGGTTACTTCATTTTAGATCTCCCCCTTATCTGGCACAACTGGTGTCAGAGGGGCAATCACTAAAGAATTTGCCATGTGTGTCTGTTTTCCAGTATGAAAGACAGTATGTATTGGCTTAGCCTGTCCCCATGAAGCAAGTTGTGAATTTAATTTGGGTGGGTTTTTGACCATTACATCAGAAAGATCTCAGAGTGGCACTGTATTTTGCAGTCAGATTTCTAGCAGATTGATGGAGAAGAAAATGGGACAGGTCTGCTCACCCTTCTTGACATACCTGTGATGTCAAATGGACGATTAAGCACCTGGGGGGGGGGGAATGACGACAACGTAGGGGTGTATTTGAGCAGCACTATTCAGTGCTTTTCATTTGCAACAGAAAAATCAGGTTAAATCATGAATATCCATTTGTTATTTACTTCCTTTTTTGTATTGGCTTGATTCTGTAGAAATGTGTATGTATGGTTAGAGTGAAAGACAGACACTTGCAATCATGTTGGTTACTGCCTGGTGGTGACCAGTGGATCCCGCTTTACTAGCAGAGACTCAACACGAAAGCCATCTTCAGCCATCTCCAATTGCAGAAGCCTCTAAAGAGAACCTTGCACTTTCATTAAATCAGCAAAAATGAATTTATTTAAGAGCAGTGCAATTAAGAGAGATATAAACAATCCTGTTTGTTCTGAATGTTGGCTATCTCATTGCCTGATGCTGTAATATCTCTGTCCATCCTACTGTAAAAAACTGGGGTACCCTGGCTGATGTAATGAACACAATTCCAAGCATCAGTACAATGTTAATGCTGATATCCCAGGAAGCATATGGAAGATGCTGAGATGTACCTGGTCAAATTTAAAGATATTAAGCTAAAAGGAAGTCTGTGGGTAGATGAATATCTTCATAGGCCTCATTTGCAAAAAAAATAAATTGTGATTAAACACAATCCAGTCTCTCTGTAGTACTTTGGTGGTCAAATGAGGAGGGAAAAGATGTTCTGGAGGTCTGTAATGGAAAACATTAATTTTGAACAGGAACTCCTCATGTTCTTTACAAAATGCACATACCTGCAATGGATACCAGCTCTACTGGAGAAAAGCTTTAGGAAATGTCAGTTAACTTTTGATTCACTTCAGTGTAGGAATGTTGTCCAATATCTTCCCGCTCTGCACACTTTGATTCTGAAATGTGGTACTTGGCAAATTTTGAGTTTTGTGTCTTTTGTTGTTGGTTGTAGATTGACAAGTATGCTCAGCGGGATCTGAAGAAAGGGCTTCATTTGTATGGGACAGATGGAAATATTGGCCTAACTAATGCATGGAGCATCATTCAAACAGATGTAAGTGAGCTTTTTGTTTCTTTTTTTTTTTCTCTCTCTCTCTTTACCCCCTGTGTTCTGTAACAGCATATTCTGGATGCAAACCTGATCAAACCTCCAGACTCCAAGCCAATCTCTTCCTCCTAACCAGGTGGCACATTAGCAACTAAACTCTGCTTTTTGTAACAAATGGTAATTTTTATTTATTTTTCCTTTGGCCATGGTAGCTTATTTCTTTTTAAAATTTGTTTGTGTCGAAGCCTAAATATCATATAGTTCTGTGATGTATGGATGGTGGAGGAGATGGCCAGACAGGAAACAAGCAGTACCTTCTCTTTAAAGTCAAAGAGACAACTTATGTTGGAATGAAGAGTGTAATAAGAAAGAGCCACTTCAACAAGTTTTCATTTCTGTCCTGCCTCCTTTCATGGCAATTGTTGGTTTTTACTATGTAGTCAAAATGGAAACCAGCCATGGCATTTAAAATATTCTCCTACAGTCAGTACATTTCTCCCAGCAGAATTCAGTCATCTTCCATCACAAATGGGAGGGAATGCTTTTTGCTATGTTACAATCACTGATGCATCCTTCTGATCCTTTGACAGTACTCTGCCAGTGTTTGTCTCGTAAGGGCTGGTGAACACTGTTGCTGGCTTCCTGGTGTTGTCCTTGTCTGGCTTTCTGAGGAAACACCATCACTGCCAGTTCAGGTTTATTAGCTCTGTGCTTTTCATATTCAGTTCAGTCAGTTCTCTTAAGGGTGATCTTTCTGATTTGATTTCCTCTGATTCTTGAATGAAGAAAAGTGCTTCAACTTTGAGTTCTGCTTTAGGAAGAAGCACTCATACTACCTTGGCATCACTCAAAATATCTTGCACAGCTTTTGTTTTTATTACTTTTACAAGCCCTAAGCATCTTGCAATATTGTTAATATTTCTCTTCAATACTATGATCAAATATGGAAAGTTATCAGTTACTGACAAGAGAAGTGCATTTTGTGCTGCTAGCCCAAGAGTAAGCCATGTGAAACAGATAAATTTTTAATAACATTGCTTATATCAAACAGCATTAGAAGTTTTACTCTGGTACACTAACTTAATTCTGCTTAGTAAAAATGTAGTAAAAATTACTAATATTAAAATGTTTGCAGTAAATACTAATCTGGTTTCAGTTATACTACAAGAACTGTTAAAAGCATGTAGCAAAGGTGGGGGGAAAAACGCTATTTGGAGGACTTACAGGATATAACCCCCATACTTCTGCTTCCCTTTCTGTAAAATAGGGGTAACGATATGTAGTACGTGTAGTTCACATTTTTTCAAGATGTTTACAAGTTGGACTGGATTCCAAAAAAATGTAGAATAATAATGAGAATTTTGGAAATTTTCATTGTGGTGAAAAATTTTAAAAGCTTTCTATAGCCATGAAGAGTAGTGATGTGATTGCAGTCCTTAAAAAGGGAGCAGGAAGGGGAAAGAGTTTAGAAAGAAAAAGGCTCTGTAATTGATCCAACAGCCTAAACCTCAGGATACAGACATTTGCTGGTAGGATGCCATTGTACAGCAGGATGGTGGATTCTTTTTCTCTGAAATTAAAACAGGGTTGTTTTGGTATTTTTGTCTAAAAGAAATGGTCTTGTTCAGTGACAAGCTGGGTTAGAGACAGCCCTCTATGTTCTGTTCTCTCTGTAGTGCCACAGATCAGGCTGGATTGTCTTAATGATTCCTTTGTCCTTGAAACTTATGACAGTTTAGAGAGTGTCTTATAAGTTTCAGATGAAATTAATTTTAGCTAGGTCTTAGAACCTCAAAAGGTAATAGGAAAGTGCCATCTTGCAAGCCATGTACAGTCATGTTACACCACTCTCTTTTCTAACATGGCAACCACTAAAATTACCAAGCACTGTCTTGACAGTACCAGAATGTTAAAGTCTCTGTGCCCCTTGTGCTGGGCACTGAGGAGAAAAGCAAAGAGCTCCCACAGATCCATTTTTACTGCTCTGCCTAACTGGTTTGCACATGAATCTTTCAAAACTATTTAGGAATAGACTCTTGCAGTGGTGCAGTGAAGGCAATCCCAGCATGCTTAATTATGTAAAATACTTTGCAGTTGAATAGCAGTATGTAAATGACAAGTATTATTTGTTATGTTCAGTAATGATCATTATCCCTTACATTCCTAATCAGTAGAGTGCAATCACTGATAGGATTAGAGCAATGCAGAGGACTTTCTGAAAGGCAAGTCACAGCCCAGGCTTGCTGATTGCATTCTGGCTCCTAAGAGACAGCTCTCAAAACCCCCACATTAGAGGTGACCACATTGCCATATAGGACAGTCTCAGCACTGACTTTTCTAATGAGCCAGTAGACATCAGTCACGGGTTGAGCTATGGGCCATGTCTATATATGGGTGGAAAACAACAGCCTTGGAAAAAAGTATGACATGTAAAAAACATGACAGTAACAGAAATCATGTCCTTTTCCCTTGACCTCTCCACATTCACATTCCTCTCTTTGCAAAAGTATTTCTCAGAGTTTGAGCAGAAGGATGGCACCATGGTTAAAGAGGGATCTGGCACAGTTCTTAATTTCTCCTACTATTAGCTTAGATATAGACCATACCCACCCTGTGTGACTGTGCATGGCAACTTTTTCTTGAGGGAAGGAGGAGGAGGGGGGAAGTTTTTCCAGAAACACAACCACATTTAGATGGCATTTGATTTCTGTGGGACTGGTCAATCACAAAGCAGAGGGAAGCTTTGACTGGGAGTATGGATACCCAATGTACACGCAGTGACTTTTGAGTAGTGATTACTGTATTTCTTCAAGGGTGAGAGGCCTGAACATGTCTTCTGGGAGGCTTTCTTCTCTGAGAAATGGTTTTCCTTTTTTTAATAGAAGCATACAATTCCTACAAGGGAAAAACAGGGTCCATCAGGCCTGTCCCGGGAAGTTGCAGGTTTGGGCCAGGGCTGATCTGTTCGTGTTACTACTAAAGGAGTTGGTTTCAGCTGCATACATGCAATGCATGTTAGAGGCAAGCACTAGACTCATTTTGCAGTCGGATTAAGTCTCTAGGTTAGGGAGCTGCTTCACATTAGAACATTTTATTGATTTCTTTTAATACCTTCAGCTAACCAAACTGACAGCCTTTCTCCTCAACAGCATTTCAGACCTTAAAAGGATCAGAAACACAAGCAAGTGACTGTGCATCGTGACTGAAGACTACGAAAGCTTGCAGAGTGATTTTAAACATGACTAAAATTCCAATAGATTAGGATGTAGGTTACTCTGAACTGTATCACACTCCCTACCAGCCAGGACTGGTGGAAGGTACAGGTGAAGATCGTTCGGAAATGAGAAACAGGCATTAATATTTAAAATGTTGCTTCAGCCCCATCTCTTTGTGATCAATATTTGAACACTTCTCATTTTAACTAACCAGGCAGTAATTCAAGAGTCATGCAGAAAACGCGTTAGCTTCACTAAAGTGAGCAAATTCAGCTCACTTTTACTGCTGTGTAATGCCTTTCATGTCTATTTAGACCATGGTAACTGAGAAGAAAATTTGACCCATGTCCTCTACCCCAGTCATTGATTCTGTTAGATCAAACCATGCTTCAGGATTACTACTGAAGTAATCCAAACCACCAAGTAAAAACACGCTTTTAGAATAAAACGGTTTTATTCACCATTTTTTTACAGTGATGGAGGAAAAAGGAATATAAGGGGCACCCTGCCCCTGTCCCTAGTTCTCTGTCACAGTCACAAAACTGGCAAACCAGGACTTGTTAAAACCTGTCTACAACAAGGATTGGGTTTCTGTTTATTTTCATGAACCTTATTCCAGCCTGGCTGATTCTGAAGGAATCTGACAATGAAAATAAGGCCTACTTAGCCTTCAGTACTGGGATTGCCTGTAAAATACAGAGAAGAATCCAACTCCTTAACATTTCCATTGTACCAAGATAGAAACTTTGAGTTGAACATTAATTGCCAGCCCTAGATACCCGTCCTAGAGCAGCAATTACTTGTTAACAGAAAAATCAAGCTATTTGCAAGCAGCGTTGCGTTCCATAAAAACAGCACAGAGACTTCAGTGCTGTTTGGTGCTGCTTGTCTGGGAAAAGCTCTCCTCAGCAGCACAACCTTTGACTCCATTGTTGAGTTGAGCAGCCCCTGCGTGTCCTGAGCTCTTGGGAACCAACAAGTGGCTTCAGAACACCAAAGGAAATCAACAGGGAAGCCACGTATGTCTCTCTAACAAAGGAGGGAAAAATGTGTGTGCCATCTTGGGAGACAGAGCCTCCCACATGAAACAAACAGCAGCATATTGTCAGTATTCCTGGAAATGTTCAGCAGCAGGAGCTTAGATACTTGGAGGCATTTGCCAAGCTTTTGCTTGTCTGAGCAACTCCGCCAAATACTGTACAAGTGTCCCCAGAATTACTGCCTGTTGTCACCTTACACCATACATCATATGGGCAGGCACAACTGCACCTAATCACACGTGCTCTTTCACAGCAGCAAGCATAGAATCAAGAGACCCCGGGTGTTCGCAAGTTAAGGTGTCTTGAAGTTACAGCTATTCAAGGCAGTAGCTGACATTTTCCAACTGATTGCTCCTTTTTAAATTGGTCAGGGTCCCCCAGAATAAGCACTGTTAGTTTGTAGTTGTTTCTATAAGAACATAAGTGTATTGTGCCCTGTTGAAACTAGGAACGGGAATAGCTAGGCAATCTCATCTAATTTTATCACTTAACTAGCAAATGGAACAAGACAGGACTGCAAATGTGACCAAAAATGAATGTATTTGTAGCAAGCATCAAGTCTGCAGTTGCTTCATGACAGTCAGGCAGTTTAACTTTCTGGCATTGGCAGAACATCAGCCTTTGGGGAAGGATGTAACTGGATGTAACTGGCTACAACAAAGTGCTGGTGACAGAAATTCATATGAGCTGAGCTTTCTCCATCCTCCAAGTGCAGGACTGTCTCCATCTATCCTTACTCAGAAACCTTGCTCTCAAATAGAACATTGTTCTCGAATCTAAGAGGACTCTCAAAAATCCTTTTGTTTTGCTTTGTCCTCAATATTTTCCTTCTAATAGCCCCTCATCTCCCTCAACAATTTGGCTACGTATTGTTCAGCTTCATGCACAAGAGATAGATCAGTCACTTGTCACATGATCCAAAGTCTCTCCCACCCTCTCTTCTCTGCTTGGGCCTCCATAATGAAGTATCTGAATTTACTGAGCTTAGATGTGGTTTTGGCTTCTAGGTGGACCCCTTTGCTGAATCTATACTGCTGACTCATTCAGACCCACTCCTGCTTGTTTCCTTATTCTTGCCTCTTTGACCTACTGCCATGGGTCAGTGCCTTGTTCCCCAGTGGACTTAAGTCTTTATTGAACTGCTCCCTCACATGTGCGTTCCCTGGTCTCTGTGGTGTTAGAACACACTCTTCTATATTTGTCACCTCCTTTCTTTTAGGATCTGTTGCTTAATTCCATTGCTCATCCTTCCTTTGTCTTCCAAATACATGACATTTCCCCCAGTTACAGTTCTAGGCATTATTTCTTCCAGCCCCAAGACTACTGATCCTCGTGCTACTTCACTGGTTTTCACCCATGATTTTTTCTTAGCCCTTTTTCCCAATGCTGGGACTGCCTTGTCTGCCAGCAGTAGCAGACAAGTATCAATATTTAATCCTCTGCTCTTGTACAATATACAGAGCAGACAACGTGTGTCCAACTGCAGCTTGCCTTTGCAGCTGTATCCCCTCCTATTTCCACCTTCTGGCTTACCAGCAAGTTTTCCTCTTTGGAGTCCCAAACCTAGGTCATGGCCTAGCCACCTTCTGCTTCACAGGCTTCATAGGAACAGCTGTCCTCAGCCTGTCAGTGAGCCCTTAACTACAAAACCTGTACTTCATCTCCTTAGTCTGTCAGACTTTGACACCCTCAGCCAAGCAATATTACGGGGAGAAGGGATCTGGTCCTGATTTATGCAAACTTGTGTCACTTGTTTTTGGCCAGAACATCACTCAAATGTCTCAGTCCTTACTGCTGCACTCTTTGTATCACAGATGAGCCACATTTCCAAGGCTTGCTATTTACAAGTTGTCACTTCTCACTGTCTATCAAAGAGCTGCCTCCTGACTCTAATGATGACAGCCTGCAAGACCTTCATGTTAGATTTCCAGATAAACCAGCCTTCCTCAAATACATGCCATGTGTTCCATGCTGCTCCTATCCACTTTTGGGACCTGTTATGCACCAAGCTCCTGTCTTTTGTGCAGTAACATAGAGGGGAAAAGAAAGTCACAAACTATTTTTACTTTTAAGTTGGTTTGCAGAAAATGAAGCCTGTGAACTCACAGACGGTTGCAAGCCAAGGATTGATTCCTGCCATGGAGCAAATCAGAATTCTGAGCAGAATCTTGGGGGACAGATGTTAGCCCGGGAAAGATTTCTGACTTTTGCTTGGCAGAAGAAAACCAGTGAGCGCTGTGAGCACTGCAACGTCTCTATCGCAGACTTCTTTCTGAAAGTGCTTGAAGCATTGTATGATGCGTGTGGCAACGTGTGACACCTCTGCCCTCTGTTGGTCCGAACGCTCAAAACACCTACCCCTCTGTGCCCAGAGACTGCAACTATTTTATACATATTTATATACATATATGTAGGAAAAAATCTCCCTCGGGACAGTGCAGACATCAGGATCGGAATTAGGTCCTTGGTGCCGGTGATGCAGACATCTGCATGATTACAAGTCTATCAGAAACAAGAGGAACAGCCTCTATAGGAATGCAAAAATGCAGAGGCTTATATAAAATCACATCTAAAATGACTTGGCAAGTCATTTTGAGGCTAAGTAGGTGGCTAGTATAGCCTTGAAAAAGTGTGAAGTACTGCCAATAGAGAGCAGTTCTGCACCCCAGTGTTGCCTTCTTTTACTCATTTGTGGTAAAGTGTCTGAATACCCATAAATTCATACTTCGGAGTTAGCACAGGAATGACAGATGGTGTATACTTCTATACGGTAACGAGTCTTAGCTTATTTCATATCACAGGAATATACCAGTTCCCTGAGGGGGAAGATGGTTGCAGAGCCATTCCCCAGATCTTGCATCCCGCTACCGAAGTCAAACAAACCTTCTGATTTAGCACTAATATAGTCATTGCACACTGTCATCATCTGCAGACACTTAAAGCAGACACTGAAAGCACCACTGTTTAGCAGCATCAGATGGTGGCATTAAGGAACTGCACCAAAAAGAGGAGGAAATGCATCTTCCACTGAGTCTTTCCAAGGTGACAGTAATTAACAGTTTAAAGAATTTGCCTTAACTTCAATCATGATTTCAGAAGCGTGTGCCATAGAGATCCCAGTATCTTCATCTCCTGGGTGCTATATCTGTATCTTAAATAATTTTTTTGCTGACAAAAAGCTGCAATCCATCATTAGAATCCTGCTCAGCCACATCAACTCTTAACCTCAGTACTTGGCTGGGGTTGTCTCGTTCCAGCTCCTGCAGTGTCCTGCCATTGCAAATAGGCACCTTTGCTTCTTCTATCAGTGTTAGTTACATGGAAGACGATATCTGAACATAATAAAAGAGTGGAGGAAAAGGGTTTATTTGGGCATAGCTGAGGAAATAAATATTTCCATAACATTTCAAGCCTCTGCTGGTGCAATCAAAATACACTGAACATCCAACTCCAGATCATATTTATAGTATCATGTTGGTTTTTCTTTTTCCAGTTCAGATGCTGTGGAGTCTCCAACTACACTGACTGGTTTGAAGTGTACAACACAACCCGGGTGCCAGACTCCTGCTGCTTAGAATTCAGTGAGAACTGTGGGCTCCACTCCCCAGGGACCTGGTGGAAAGCGGTGAGTAACTCTCCAGCAGCAGCTCAGCAGCTGCCTTGCAACCCAGGTAAAGGGCAGGCACCTGGGCATTTGCAGGGCTAAACAGATGGTAAGGTATGATGTACCCTTCCTCATCTTCAATCAGGTGCTTTCAGAAGGCTAATGTTGAGCTGTGGCTTTTGACCTCCAATGAAACTGCTGATTTAATTATTTTCACAGGCTTTCCTTTCAGTAGGCTCTAAGCTGTTGTTTCACATCACAGACTTGTACCTTCCAACACTAATCACAAGCACAGTCTAGAAGATCTAGCTAGTAAATTACAGGATTGTCCTTTTTAATGTCCCATCTACCGGAATCAGGCAGAGATAAAGGCAAATGGCTCATCCACACACACAGATTGCAAGCCCTGGAACTGCAGCCACAGCTTATCATGGCTCAGGCAGTAGGGAGGCAAGAGGACTCTGTGACCCTGCAGTGCTCTGCTCCTGCCAGGAACCCAAGTTCAGGGGCTTCCACTGCACAGCAGGCAGGTGGGGATTGTGCCACTGAATTGCCAGCAGCGCTCTTTTTTACAGAGAGTTTCTGCACTTGCCTGTAATCAAATTCAATAGTCCATGGGATAATTTCTGTACAATGTCTTCAGCAAAATTCTTCCATAGGAGATAGAGCCTAAATTCTTCTCTGAAATTAGCTCAGCAATTCTTTGTGCTAATTACGTGTAGTGCAATTAACTGGGAGGGGTGTGGAGTAAGGCCATCTGATGAAGTGGAATTATAAGGAAGCTTTGCTGGTTCTAAAGGTTTGTGAAGACAATAAGTAAAGCTTTCTTGGCCACTTTCTAGAGATTTCATATACATGGATTTTCACTGGCACAGGCTTACTTCCAACCAAACAGGGCTCCCTTCTACCTCTTAAATAGCTCCAGGTTAAATTTTGAATTTAAGAACTTAAAAATTCTTGTATTTTATTTGGGGTATGAAGGTATGAAGATGATCAGTGCAGGTCAACACCATCTCTTCTGGTGAGCATTAATAAGTTTTCCTTTAGCATATGCATATGTTAAAGCCACTAACTTAAGGCTGAATGATTCTTGGCCATGTACATTTACAAGACAGAGGGCACAATTTTTGTACAAGGTTGTCTTACAGATATTATTTGTTCTTTACACATTATTTAAAGACAGGTTTCACTTGGATCAAGTCAACCCTCCCCAAAACTGGGCCAGGAACATGAGGTTACAGTTACTGCAGAATTTAAAGCAGGAAGAAAATATTTGAGGAGAGCCCATACTGCAATTTGAAATTATAGGAAATTGTACAAAATGGGCCTGTGTGCAGCAGCATTATCAAGCTCTCACTTGATTATACACATATCTATATAGTGTAAGAAAATTCTGTTTTTCTGAAACATGGATAAAGTGAAAGGCTCGTTCTGAAGTTCCACTGCTTCTGGTTGGTTTTTAGAGGGCAAAGTGGGCTCAAATCCACTGCTTGGTTGTTTGGGTTTTTTTTTAATTACTGGCCTAATTTATACAGAGCAGTGCTCATGCAGCATTTTAGAGGTGCACTTTTTTATGTCATTAGAATGAGTGCTCCTTATCCAGGCTTCAACCCAGAAATACATGGTAGTTGCTCCAACACCAAAATGATAACCCAGGCCTACCTAGCAGCTTAGCCTGATCTGGCTCATTCCTGGCTGTATTCCCAGGGGAGTAGAACTGTGCATTTATGGCTAATACAATATTCTTTTGTGTTTTGTTTTTTTCCAGCCGTGCTATGAAACAGTGAAAATATGGCTCCAGGAAAACTTACTAGCAGTGGGAATCTTTGGATTGTGCACAGCTATGGTGCAGGTACAGTTTAATACCAGTCAGATTTCAAATCCTAGTTAACTGTAACTAAAGATCCAGACATACTCTGCCCAAGCCTGATTTAGTAATTCCAAATTTTGCATGATACTACTGTAAAACTCTGCAAGATTTAGGTCTTTTATGTTTTAATTTAGTTAAAATACTGTGCACAAAGTACAGAATGGGGAATACTGCACGCATTTTCTGGTTTATGAGGAACTTACAAAAAGCAGACACTTTACCAAGTGGTTTATCTAAGGCTTAGGCTAGATTCAGTGGAGAGATAGTCCCTGCCTTCCAAAGACAGAAGTGTAGTCAGAGTAGGGTGAACTGCCCTTTAGGGTACCTGTATTTGTCCAGTAATTCTCCAGAGGGGACCATCCACTTAGGCTAAATACCTACCTTTAAGAGAGCCTGAAAATAGACTTAAGTCTTCAACCCCATTCTCAGTCCTAGGGTGAGTTACAAGCTGGGATGTTGGTACTATTACTCAATCTTGCCAATAGAAACATCTTCCTCTTCTATTAATTGCAGGGAAATGGGGTAGGTAAGATGGGCATAGCCTTGCCCGTCAGATTTTTGACCTGCAGTTATTTCCAGCATAACTTTGCTCAGAGAAGAGTCCGTTATGAGTCAGTGTAGCACCTTGTCTCTCACTCTTACATACCTGCGTCTTTACACCAGTTTGCCATGGTTGCAGACACAGTGCAGCCCCAGTGGCACAAACCTTAGCCTGAGGGTACACAGATGAAAGCTGTGCTGGAGTTCAGGCTGTACATCAGCCTTGCATTTATGTGCCCAAGGTCCCACTCCTGAACGCAGTGAAGACGGGGCTTTAGTTTCCAGCTCTGCCTCCCTCACACTCAATGCATAAGCAAAAAAGGAAGGATGGCATTGCTAAGCTAATTAATATCCTGTGATTCCAGATGAACATGGGGGGGTTGTGTGTGTGTAATTTTGTGTGGTATATCACTATCAGCAACAAGGGATAACCTGGTATCAAAATGCCACTTGTTCCCAATAATGTCAGATGAGGCAAAATGGCATATATCTTACTCTTTCGTGTGTCATATATTGGCTACAACTTATTAATGCAAATGCCTGACTCCTCATAGGCTCGAATTCAGTAGTTTTGAGTTTTGTTTTCCAGTATAGTAAGCAGATATGCTTACAAAAATAGATAAGCCCAACAAGATCATGTGGCAGAGAGACAACGTAAGACTGTTGTTAATACATTACCATACTTTAAGAAACAGCTATTGAGCTTCTATCCAGCATTTAGGGAGTCTTTAAAAGATATATTAAAAGCCCAGCAGCCTATGTCAGCCTTCTGATTGACCTTGATTATATTTAGGTTAATTTAAGAGAATACAGAATTCTGACAGAAAACAATCACTAGTTTGCACAGGAGAAAACACTTCAAATAATTTTAAAATGCTAATTAATATTCCTAGTAAATGCTGGGAAGTACAGAGAAAACACTTTAGAACACTAAAGGTTTTTAGCCTGTCTTTTAACTATGTGATCAAATCTAATTGATGACTAAAGTTTTGATGCACTGTCATCTAAAATGAATTGGGCTCCCTCTACTGTTGCTGTTACACTGATGTTCCGGCCCCAAACATGTTTCATGTTAACAGTTAGAATTATACCCAGTGACACCTTATACCTAGTGACAAGTTGGAGGACATGCAGCACACATGATGGAAGAATCTTCTTTAGTCATGCATGCTCGAACCCATAAAAGAAATTCAGCCACCAAGGTTTTATTATGCAGCTGTCATTGAAGGTGTTCCTTTGCTAGGAAGCAGAAGGCAGTATTAAGGGAATACCATCAAAAGGCATGTGGTTACTATAAAACAGCACTCTAAAGCCTAGCAGTCTCATTTCACTGTGGAACAAAGGGAAGTGAAGGTGGTAACAGCTTTATTACCATTTCTTTATTTATAAAGTAGTATGTGTGTTATTCATGTACTCTTTCAAAATACTCATTAAAAGGTACTACAATTTATACAAAGATTAAATCTGAAGCGGTCAAATTAAATGCTTAAAATACAATTCATAGAAAAAATGTCTCCCTGGCAAACCTTTATTTCAATGACAATTTTTTATAGTGGGGTTGTAAAAGAATAGTAAAAACTACTTAGTATATTCACATAAATACTTCAACTGGAAGGAATATATGGCACTCTTCCACATCGCTTTCTGATGAAGTAGTCTACCAGAGGTGGCACAGCAGGTCAGCATTTGGGCTGGGAGAAGAACTACTACCTCCCTGCTGCTTCTCTTGAATAGGCGTAGTAGAAAAAGACATGGTCATTGTTGATGAGGAATTGATGGTTCTGATTAATGCATGGACAGTCTCCAGTGATTTCCCCATAGAGACCTATGCACACATACACTTGGAAAAGTACAGTACAGTAAACCACAGCATCCTTTGGGTCAGGGATGAATGTCATCGTCTTTCAAAGCAATAGCTAGAGATAACCACAGCTGTGGGTTGCTATTATAAAATAATTTTGAGGGAAAGTCATCCAAACAGTTCTTTTCAATATACCTCTTCCCAGTAACTGGAGGCTGCTTTTCATGGAGAAATCAGCTCTCCCATGCTTTCATTGTTCATTCTGTAAACCAGCAATACAGGTAAGGGCAAAAGGCACACAGAAACTAGGAATAGAACAAAGGACATGAACTGGTAGGAAAAGCAGTATGTGACGTGTCTGCCTGTGTGTGAACAAAGCCAGTGTAGGCACATTTGCCTCTCCTTTTTTTTTTTTTTCATTTCAATAAATAGTGGTGGGGTTTTTGCTTACTGAAAAACAATTGTGGTTTTTTTTTCTCTTAGATTCTCGGACTCACCTTTGCAATGACCATGTATTGTCAGGTAGTCAAGGCAGACACCTACTGTGCATAGATACCGTTTCCACCCTTTCTGCTCCTCCTCCAAAGGACACAGGAGAAATCTCCTTCATGCTCATCCATCTGACCTTTCCAACCCCCTCCCCCTTTGTACTATAAACTGTGTATAATGCTATCCTTCTGAAGATTTTGTGAATCATCCCACTTCACTGAAGGAGGAAGAAAAGAAAAAGTCAGTACTTGAACTGGTGCAGGTAAGAAGGAGCTTTGTCTTTGAACAGAAGAAAACTCCCAAGAGCAATGGTTTCTTTTCCATGGCCTATGGCAAGGCAAAGGAGGCTGCTTATGAGGGGCTGATCTGCAAACCCATGGTAGGAAGATTGCAGTAAGGCAACCTCTGTCAAACCTGCCAGGTTGCTTTCCCACATCCCATGGTCTGGAAGAAAGGGCATAGAAAATGAGTGTTCTTCAGCAAGAAGGTACAGAGTAGCTAGCACAGAATGCAATTACTACAGTTTGCATATAGCTAAAACATCAAGATCAAGCAGCCCTGCCTCCAGGTGTCTCAAGATGATTTTGTAGCCAGGAGAAGATCATCTTCAGAAATATGTTATTTTAAAGGAGTATTTTTAATCTTTTGTGCTGGAAAGTTGGGCTTTTAATCAGAATCTGTACAGTGAGATCTGGCTGTTAAGGGAAAACAATATTGGACATTGTCTCATTAATTGCCAGTGGCATATAGATGGTTGACTGTATATGTAATATATATTACATTCATACATACATATGTTCTGCAAGGAGGTAAAAATACCCAGCATCTAACCTCAGAAAGAGGAGACCTATCTATCCCATTTTACATTCCAACTGAAATAACTGACTATTATTTCTTGTAGGAGGCACTATCACTTATACCTCTGGGAAACAAGTAATTACTTTCAGCTGTATCTTCATTTCAGTAAACAACTTGTGAGTGGGCTCTGTCATTCTACTATGGTTTTATTTTTTATCATCCCTGTTGCAAGTTAGTCTGCCAAAAAATATCACTCATTTCCACCCTTGAAGATCCATACAAAGCTGTCAGCTGTTCCTTCCCTGAATGTCACCATTTCATTAATTTACTTTGGGATATCATCATCTGCAGCTATGACAGAGTTTGCCTTGCTGAAGAAAAATCTTTTTTCACATTGCTCATTTTTGAGAGTTATCAAAACTTCAGATGTTTTTATGCTTAGGGTTTTTTTTTCCCCCTCAGCTGCATGCTTGAAACGGCCAAGACACTTCAGCCTGTTGGAACTGGGGTCACCTCTCAGTTCTGTTTTTCAGACCCATCTCCCTCTGCCTGACTGTTGGCTAGAATTTACTGCACACTTTCTGGAACTTGCAGAAATTGAAATCATAACTTTCCTTAGCCAGGAAACAGCCACCAATTGTCCAATTTCCCCACCCATTGGTAACTGAATTTATGTAGTACCCTTATGTGCACACCTTTTAGTGATGAGGTTAAGAATCAGATGTTTCCTGTTGTTCAAACACATAACTCCCCATCAGCAAGCAACCCCAGATAATACACAGGACGATGCTAAGCACTCAGGGAAAGAACACAGCAGGGGAATGCAACTGGCCCACTCCTCGCAGCCAGCCTTTGAGGACCTCTCAGCCACTGACAACAGACCAGAGAGACAACCATGATGCCCTGTTTTCCCAGGAAGCTCAGTGCAGCCAACAGACTAGAAGCATCCATCAAATTTAGGAAAAACAAAGTTACCCTGTACCTTTAGTGCTTACAACTGCAGGTCTCAGCTGTGAGTGACATTTTGCTTCCTTTGATTTAAAGGCAATTTCCAGCAGCAAAGCTGAACTTGTCAAGGCTCAGACTGTTCTCCATGACATCTGTAACTAAATCTTTCCTGGACCTGCAACATTGACAAATACTACTCTCACTGCTTAGGTTTTGAGGTATTTTTTTTTCCTCTTTGCTGATTTCCTGCAGTGTTTTCACCCTCAGGCATGAACTACTCAATGTTTTGTGGGGAAGTGCTTTGGAGAGTCTGGTGTGTGAAACAGCAAGTATCTTCCAAAATCATTTCCCTCCACCTTTATGCATGGTGCCTATCTGTAGCATCAGGCATTTAGCTGTGCAGGCTGACCTGAAAGTAATGCATTACTTGTGTGTGTTTTATGTGGCTTAACAATCACTGTCACAGCTACCTCACCACCACTAAAGGATTTTACTGCCATGTTCACAAGCCTTGATAAATATTAATGCACCTCAATCCAAGACAAAGGTTAAACTGAGTGAGTAGGCCACACACAGGCACCATGTACGCCAACACAGGAGACCTACTTTTGGTGTTACAGCCCCATAGTCTCAATGCTCTCTGCTTTCTGAGCCCAGGCTAACCTGTCAACAGGCCTGCTCTTTGAAAGATGCTGTAAGTTCGATCCTTCCCTCTCTCCCACTTTGTTCCTTTCTTACCTGCATGGACACGATTCCAGGTTAGATGCATCATTAGTTCTTGCCATAGTTTAAAGTTCATACACACAGGTACTCCTGCTGACAGATCAGTTTTCATCACTGAAAAACAGCATAACACAGTGATGAATGTGTTAACAAAACACTGACTTTTTAAAAAAGATAAAAGGTAGACAAGTCTATTTGTAGTGATCCCTGCCATTAAAAATTAACAGAGACAGGAGGCTGATTATGGCTCAGTTAAGAAGAGCAAACCATTGTGCAGCAGAGCTCCCACAGAGGGTAACTCTCGTCAATTTGCCTGATGATGGTGTAGGGAAGAGAGAGAACATAACGCCTCATCCTGTGAGTCTCCCAATAATGTGTGCTGAGCTCTTAGACTGCCGGGCTTCAGGTAAACCTACAGAAGAAACAAAATGAGAACCAGAGACTGATGACAAGTCACGCTTTGTGGTTCCCTCTAATAATTTTCCACAGTTCAGGCATCTTTACAAAATATACTACCTTGGTTTTCAAAAACACGTATCTATAGGCAGTAAAAGCAACACTCACTTTGTAAATTGCAGTCACTGCAGCAGAAACACATGGCACTAACTGCTGAAAAGAAAGAAAAAAACCCTAGATCACACATTGCTGCTAATAATTCGTTTTTTAAACACTATCAACTGACACTGCCAACTGAGATGCTACTGCAACTTGCTTATAATTTGAACTGGCCTATTTTCTATATTTGATGTTATTAGCTCTCTTCACACAGGTCAAACAAATGTTAGGGTGCTTACAGCACAATTCAAGTTCAAACCTCGGAACATACCACACATAACAAGCTTCAGATTTACCGTATTTTTCTTTTTAAAAGCACTGTAGCTTTGCTTTGCTGACGAGGTCAGAATATTCTGGAATACGTAACAGCAACAATTTTTTTTTTTAAAACCAAACAAGATAGTTCCATATTATGCATAAGACTTCATGTTGAACTGGTTGATTATAACTAAATACCCTGTAATACATAATATCCATTCTAAAGGCTGCTTATACTGTATGTAATGCACAGCAACACCGAAGTCATTCCAATTGCTTCCATTAGTGTCTTGTCACTTTTAGTAAAGTGTTTTATGTTATTTTCACTTCTTATCTTTAAACATGAAGGAGGACTCAATACATTTAAATGAAAGAACCAAAGGCAACAAAGACATTGAAAGAGAGCACTCCTAAGTAATACTCCTTGCTCTTTCTGCTTAATGACAAGATGTGAAGGCACAGTGTGCATGGCTGGACCTACTGAATGGAGCAACATCAGAATTTAGCTTTTAGATTCAGTCCAATATATTTCTGGCTTATCACCTTCACAATTATGGTAATGCATATACATATATACATTTAGTAGAATATCGTTTATTTTCCTTTATGGTAACTGTTGGTAGCAGCCAAACCTTATTGCTTGTACAAATGAATTATTTAGCTCCGGATCTTACAGTGCACAATCACTGAAATTCACTCCATTTTCTGTTCTATGACTACGTCTTTGTTCCTCTCCCTCAAGTAATCTAAACTCATGAAGGTTTATTCTACCATTTAATAATTACCATTTAAATGCATCGTTGTATGATTTATAATATAGAAAGGAAGAAACTGCACAGAAGCTGCAAAAAATATTTTATCTTGCACCAGCAGTATGGCTGCTATGTGAATCCATGCAAAGCCCGCACTTCTCACAAGCTACCTATGAACCCTTCACATCTTCTACATCTCTTGGTATATGTGGCTCCTGGCTGCCACTTTTCCCATTCACAGATAGGGCAGGAGGTGGTTGGCATGGAGAAAGTTGAAGCCTTTCAGTTACCCCTTAGCTTCATTCTTGTGCTATAAATGTGGCACCAAAGGTAAGCAACAGAAACCAGCAGTTCATTGTGGCATTTATTAACTTTGTCTGCAAGGATTCGTGCGAAACATGAATGTCTTCATACATACTGAGTTAGACAATTCACAGAAGGAAACAAGTCAGGACTTGCCATGGGAAATTTTGTTTGGATTCCATTGTGAATTCTCCTAGATTGTCACTGGTTTCTTACCACAGCGGGCAGGGCTCCTCAGTTCTTTGCATTGTGTCACTGCAACTAGAATGATACATTTTTGTGCATTCATATTAAGAACAAAATTTAAAATATACATTTTATTTTTTAAAAGTTATTAAATATTATTTAAAGTTTACAACAGAATGTCTTTTGTATTCTTTATAATCAACTATACTACAAGCTATAGAGTGAGTATATACATACCCAAAGATGTGTGTGCAAGTGCACACACACACACAGTGAACACACTTAAAAATAAACACAGCGTATTGCTTTTTTCTAATTTCTCATTCCCTCCCTTTCATTTGGCCAACCCATCCTTAAACAGTAGTAACGAAAAATAAGTATTTAAGTGGCTTACCCATTCCCAGGTAAATTTACACTCCTTTCTGTTTCCTCTTCAGGGCAAACCGAAATGATGTGGTAGTTGGTAACAGTTTAGAAAATACTGGGAGATCAGGTTTACAGTGTAAGAAAATACTTAGACTGAAACAAATTATCTTCAGTTTAGAACTTGTCGGTAATTTTGTGTTGTGGTTTAAGCTCTGAACTTCACTCTTCCTGAGGTAGCTGCTCAGAATAAGAAAGTGCATAGAAAAAGCTGAGAAAATTAACACCAGACTGCATTCAAATGGAACCGCTAGGTTCCTACTATGTCAGATCAGGTCTGATTTGCTAGGTATCTTGTGTGATGTCAGGTCTAACGCTACCTTTTTCAATACAATTGCTCCCTCTTGGTCAGACAGCTTTGCAAGTGAATTTGCCTGTAAACTGGGCACATTCTGACCACCACCACAGGCATATTACTGAAAGTGTGAGGGTAGAAGCAGCCTGAAAGTGAAGACCCAGAAATTTTAGAGGTTGTTGCAGGAAACCTTATAAAGGATAACCCCAACCTTTGGTGAAAGTTTCTTACACCTCCCTCAATTCACTAGGCACATTTATATTACTTGATTTTTCTTCATCCCATTAAGTGTACCATTAGATGCTCTCATTAATCCTATTTAATCCCTTTCTGATTCTGTGAAACTTTACATTTCAGTCTTACACTGTAGCAGTGGATTTCACAATTTCATCATGCTGTAAACATTTAAAAGAACCATTTCTAATACGGATTTTAACATGTTGCTTTTCAATTCGATGTATTCACCAGTGGTTCTTCAGGAATGCTAGCTTAATGATTCTTACAGAAATATACGGGCACAGCAGCTATATTACCTTTACAGCCTGATTTTGTCTTTCCACTAAAGCTTAACCATGGGCAGTAGAGTACGCTATTGATTTTAAAGATCCCATTGTTTCCAAGCCCCAAGCCCAGCATACCTTCCCCAACAGTTATCCTAGTTCAGTTGTCTTTGCTTTTTGGTCTACATGTTGGCACAGCAGAGGTGTTTCTATTTTAATTAACAACTAGACTAGTATTTC